TTCCCCTTAATCGTTTTTACGACGAAATTTCGTGTTTTATATCCCGATCGGGATACTACTTTTTTTCTATATCCTGATCGGGATATAGCTATATCCCGATCAGGATATAGGAGGTGTCCCCTTACTGCCTGTACTAGAGATAGAATATCGAAAAAGAAAATCAACTTATTTTGTTTCAGACTTTTGTCACATGTTCTTGTGTGGGCTTTCTTTTGTTTATTTTAAACTTCAACTCTCATCTCTCTTGTCCAATGGCTCTGAAATCGAGTTATCACATCTGTGCATCTGTGTCCAAATGTACCGAGACAATGAACCTTAGATAGCTTATCCAAGACTATCACGCGACCACCGTTGCCGGGATTCGAACTTCGTATGTTTGAAGTACATTGTCTGCCCACTAGCCGACCGAGTCACACTGGTTTTCATATGCCATTTCTCAGCAAAACTAAATTCAGGTTGCAACTTTCCTTCTGGAAAGGTTGGATATGCTAATGGAGTTGTTCTACATTACTTGTAGCAGTTTGAAGTTTGCATAACTGTTGTTTTGCGAAAAAGCCTGTTCTAACGAACTGTGTGTCATTTAATGTTCGTTTTTATTTCGACTTAGTTGTTACGAACTTTGTGATCGGAGCCTCATAGTGTGCAAACAAGAGGTCAGGAATTATGAGTTAACAACTTCTATTACGTCTATTTTTGAACCTTTTCAGTATCGTTTAGATATATAACGTTTCTAAAAACAATTAACTAGATGGGTGGATATTCTAAGACTTCTCGTAATATTCAGTATTCCAATGGATTTCTTTTTGCACAATGTAAAAGCATAGAAGGAAAATATATTGATTCACAGTTAAATTTAACCAATTGGTTTGCAAATCATGATGGTACATTGGTCAAACAACAGAATGGTCATTTTGAAAAATTATGTACTAATATTAATGTCAATTTAAATGGTTGGTTATCATGCAATGCAACGAAAATAAGCGGGCACATAGTTTATGCTGAAATAAATCTAAATGATTTTATTTCCAACATCGATGGACAATTAACCATTGATTGTGAGAACGGTGAGTTTATTCTCAGTGTCTGAAACGTTTTTCATCAACTGTACAAATATTAAAAAATTGTTCTACTTTCATCATCATGAAATTCTTTATACGAAATGTATTATGAACTCAGATCTTTGACTAGAGCGATAACCTCTCTAACTCTCTAGTCGTTTCTTCGCCGAAACATACTTTGATTCATCAGACTTTTGACTGTTTCGTGAGTATGATATCCGTTTTAGTTTTAGGCTTCTTTCGAACGGATGTCTAAAAAGAAGTCTCTGAAAACCTGTTGCGGACCTTTTAGTCAAACATATTTTCAACTCCAGATTGTAGAGCAGATAGAATTACTCATGCAAACACTCTCGGAAGTAACAAGTTTTTCGCATAGTTAGAAAGTTCTGATTTCTAAAAAACTGTAGATGATGAGAAAAATCATGCATGCAGCTCGGCTATAAATAACTAAAGTGTCCAAATCTTGATAAATTTTATTCAGCGTCATTCTTATACTTACGATATTTAAAGAAAGCAACCATAAGTTGTAGTCTCTATCTGTCCTATATCATCACGCATGATTAATATACGTATGTCAGGATTCAATTATATCATACTGATAATTCCTTCCTGTCTTTGCTCCATATAGTAGAGATTGTAATTGTTCAGTTGCTATACAGAAACAATTTTGCTCCAAGTTAAGAAAAGTTAAGTAAAGTATAAGTCATTTGCATAGATAAAAGAATCTGTAATTAGGTGAGATATGTAGAAAAATTCTATCAAAATTTCTAGGAACTAGATGTCTCGAAAAGTCCTTTCAACGAGCTATTTTTAAGGTATTTTTCTTTACATCGAGCGAGCCACGCTTTGAAGGATTTTTAGGACTTCTCCAAAGAATTGATTTCTAGAAATTCTAATAGAATTCTAGTACATATCTCGTCTAATTATAAATTCTGATCTGGAAAAGGGAAAAAGATCTGCTTAGCTATCATGGTTCTAGAAAAAAATGAAAAATGATCAGTGCGCTCTTCACTTTAAAATAGTGTTTGAGAGACTCACAAAACACGACGTATCCTTATCTGTCAGGATATTTTATTGAAAATTTAATAGATAATAGAGATCTGGTTTAACAACTGATAATGTGTATTGCGAGAATGTATCCTGCTTGCACTCAACATTAAAGGTTTTTAAAAGTTTCTGGTAAATCTAACACAGCTTTGTAGCTTCGCTCTTGGCACAAATCCATCAGAATAGTCTCTTTATTTAAAAGTAGAGCCTTGTTATGACGTTTATATTTTAACACTTACAAATAGCACTTTAAATGGGACTTCATGACTATTCGTTAACATGGAAAACATTCATAAAAGTTTCCTATGAATTATACCTACTTAGCAGATTTATTATTCGCTGGAGTGTAATGTATCACTAAGTGATTGAGAAAAGTACTTAACATTTATATACCTTTTGTTTTATTGTATGAATGACTAGATAAGCCAAACTCACCAAAAGTAGCTGTATGGTATTGGAAATCAAATCTGAATCCGTTCGATATAAATGAATCTGCACAATGGACAAAATATTCCAATATTGAAAATAACATTATTGAAGAAGCATTTGAAAAGAAACAAAAACAAGTCGTACTAGAAAATTATATGATAGATTTTGAAAAGAAACTTCAAATAAGTAAAAAGAGCGGTTCAAAACAACGACAGATCAAAAGAATTTTAACTGGTAATGAACAGAATTTAAGACATGAAAGATTTTTTATTGAGCCAAAATTAATGAAATCATTTGGTGATTACAGCATGAGTTCAGATTTTCTAGAATCATGGATAAAAAATAGTAACCCTTCTTTGGAACGTATTGATGAAATTCTTGAACAAGCAATTAATGGCATCCTCCTTGAAGGTAAAAAACTTGGTGAAATTGCTGATGCTGAATGGTGTGCCAAACAATTGAGCCAAGTTCAAAATCAAAACAAAAATGAAATTAATCGGTGCGTGCTAAAAGTTTATACAACAGAATGTTTTCTCTATAAAACATTGAATGCAGCGTTGAGAGAAAATGATATGACAAAAGTTAATACATTAGGTCCTTTTTGTTATTTATTGAATAGTGCATTATCGAATACACAAAATATATTTTACACTGGCTATCTTTATCGAGGAACAAAGCTTCAAAATCATATGATAGAGGATTATTTGAAAGCTGTTAACAACGGCTGTAGATCATGGCCCGGATTTACATCAACATCAAGAAGTCGAACTAATGCCGAAGAATTCGGTGACACATTATTTATTATTAATATTATAGACGAACACTCAAAAGCGCTAGATATATCATCGGCATCAGTTTTCCCAAATGAAGAAGAAATATTATTACCAAATGGTTGGAATTTTATCGTTGAAAAAGTAGATATGATTAATGGTAAAAACCATGTTTATTTAAGACGATCAAAAGATCATAATTAGGTAAACCACAGCTCACCCTTATATATATATATATATTCAATACATGTAGTGAATAAAAAAACATCAATAATAATTGCAGTTTATAATTCTGCACTGACAGGCATTCGTAGTGGAACGCGATTGACCAGAAAAGAATAAAAATATGCAGATCATTAAAACACCTACTCGGAGTTCTTTAAAAAGCCGAAGAAAAACTGTTACGCTTGCGCATAGTTACTTTTAAAACGCTTTTGTGTAAACTGAATCAGGCAAGCGTCATGACGATCTAAAAATCATGCGATTCTGTCCAAGTAGCTGATGTAACGACGGTGCCTACTGCGAAAAGGAGTCAACAATCTACTTTTGGTACCCCACGAGAGCATACAAATGATTACTACACAGGTAATTGTAGCATTTCTTATTAACAGTCTTCCTTTTTTCTCTCGGATTCAATAAAATTGATATTTTATATCTGTTCAATTTTGAACAAATATACTGAATAACACAGCAGTGCTCCTATAGATGGATATTCTTTTTCTCCTTCTGTTCATTCATCACGAAAAAAATACGAAAAGAGAAAGTGGAAAGAGAAATATATACATATTCACGACGAGAAAAAAAAGAGAGACCTTAGTCAGTCACCTATATGTTTGGAAAATTCGTTTTAACGCGGTTTTAGCATTCATAGAGCGCGAGAATATACACATTTTACTTAACTAAAATGTTGAAATGATCACAATATACGAACAACGTTCAGAGCCGAGACACTTTCATTTTATAGAGAAATGTTTAATCTACTCAATTATCTAGTTGTAATTTTAGATTATTTTCTAACTTTATTGTCATGGTTCTTTGAAAACGAGCGAAAAACGGAGACCGTTAGCTGGACAAGCCGCGAAGTAGTTTTCGTACACTGCTGATTGCTTCAGTGGTTTTTTTTCATCTGAAAATCCTTCGCTCTTATTATTAAAGCGGACAGCATTCCTGACGTGATTGAACACTTTTATTCGGTGATTAGAAAAACGCGTTACCTTCTTGTGTTACAGCCGGAATAATGTTGACTGCACCTCCACGTGTTACCGCCAGAATAATGTTGACTGTGAACTCTTGCGTTTCACTGTAGTCAGTATTTCCACACTTTCTGCGATACTCTTCGCTCGGCATCACAACAATGCGCATGCCATGTGAACCACTTTTCGTGCTCTGTCCATCGATAATAGGTATATTTATTTCCAAATCATAAATGCCTAGTGGCATAGAACCATGCAGTGGCCACCGATAAGGAACGCGACTTTCTGCTTCGTCATATCTTCCGTCGTTATTTAAATCAATCCAGACATTCACGTCTTGAGCAAGGTTGCAATTTTTGTCAAATGGACCTCTAACGGAGCGTTGAGGGCAATCCAACTGGATACGTAGTCGATACATGGCATTTTCATATAAGGTAACGGCCAAGTGGTGTCGATTTTGATTCTGGCTCGGCACTGTATTCGCTGGTGTATTATCTCGAATCTGTGTCCCTTGTTCACCCGCCATTATAACCAGCACGATTTTGCCATTGGTTAGAGAACATACACCATCACTTAGTGCCAAATAGGGGACTCGGACATCGGCAGGAACTACAAATAATTAAGATTCACAAAAGTAGATATTCTGTACTGATTCGATTGAGAAAACTATGTCGCGTATCGTATCATATATATTTGAGAATCTTATTTATCCTGTATAGCTCCACTAGTTTTTATCACTTAATAACTATCGAATTAATTTGAAGCTACATACATCCTTGTATTTTGCACCGATGCAGAACTTGTTCTTAAGAGGGGGGGGGATCACCCCCGTTTTTTTCATAACTTTGTAGAGCGCATCAAGCTGTATATACCTTGAAGTGTGTTCGATGAACAGACTTATAATTGCTGAGAAAAGAAATTTTTACGAATTTCATACGATTTTGACCCTCTATTTAAAAAATTTATAAAAAATTCAGAATTGGAGCTGGAACTCTTATTGTTACGCAGTTCGACAGAGCACCTTAAGTGACATATACCCACAAGTTATAATGAAAATTGAACCAACGGTGTCTGAGAAAATTAACATTTTCCATTATAGTGCAGTTTGAGTCCTTCAAGTAATTTTTTGAAACTTATGCACGCATTTCAGAAACAACAAACCATTTTGAAGAAAAATTTTCGCTGACAAAGTTGTTCAGGATAATGTTCTTCATATCCTAAGCGGAGCACTTTTTTCATTTTAGTGGAAACATTTTGAAAAAAAAATTACAAATAAAACATTTTTAGCTTTAAATTTACTTAAAATTTGTGTAAATTGCATTTCTTTCAAAATTTTCCCACGAAAATGAACAAAGTGCTCCGCCTAGGGTATGAAGAGCATTATCCTGAACAACTTTGCCAGCGAAAATGTTTCTTCAAAATGTTTCGTTGTATTTGAAATGCGTACATAAGTTCGTGAACCAGGTAATGAAAAAGTCGAATTTCGATGCAAGAGCGATTTCACCTAATATTAGGTTTTCACTAGGTTTTTGAATTATTTTCGAAAACGAACATTGCCACGAGACTCAGCGTGATGGATAACCCATGTTTCCATTCACTTTAGAGATTACCACACCTAAGGAAATATCTATGGCTTCGAGAAAATCAGATGCCGCTCCTGAACTACGGAAGATTAAGAGGTCGCTTAGTTCCCATTTTGTTGAGAACATTTTACGCTAACATATCTATATGAGAAATGCAGGAGGCACTCTGGCAGATCTTGGAATTACGACCTACTCTTTCATAGACTAATAAGGTATACCACCTGCAGGTGGTATTTTTTAAGATATTTTTATGTCAACTTGTAGCTAATTATCTTCTCTATTCAGTGCTGAAAACCGCAAGTCTTCGAAGCTTACTGTTCAAAAGTTATTAAAAAAATAGCCACCGGCATTCGTTTTTAATAATATATGGACTGTTAATTAATATAACAGCCAGGATATGAAAAAATCTCGAAAAAACCCACATCCATGACAAATTAAAAAACCAAATACAGGATTTTGTAGCGCTTGAGCAGCTGATTCAAATGATGTATTGTTTGTTATATTTGAGCAAAAGAGGTTGGAAAAAAAAAGAATGCAAACGACCAGACTACACTGAACTGGCGTCGGTTTCAAAGAAAAAATTTATAAATAGTCTATTAGGTAGATATTTTTTCTTTCTTTTTTACATACATAATAACTATGAATAATTGTGCATCTAAACATACTTGAATCACATTTTTGTCATTATCCCTGAATGACTTATGAAATATCGAAAATCAGCCACTAGACGGCAAATTTTGACCAAAGCCCATAAAAAGTCATAATTCCACCAATATTCATTCATAGGACCGCCGAAATTTCTTGAGGATACATAGTACTCAACGCACTCTACAAACTGGCATAATTTGAGGGCAGGTTTGTAGGTGGTTCCCCTCCCCTTAAGAACAACTGTTCTCGATCAAGAAACAATAATCACATCTTGGACCTCATCTAAGAATTCCAAAACTTGATTAAATAAATGTAGAGCAATGCATTATATCTATCCTTTGTGATTTTCATCAAGACCGAGCTTCTCTCTCATTAACTCAAAAACGAAGAATACACAGTCTCTAAACACTCGAAGATGACCATAAATTTCCAGGTTTTTTCTGTTATCTACGACCGCATAGTGATGTTTGTATAGTTCAGTTTTCTGAGGGTACATAACCGGCATATCGGAGTCTCATTAAAACAATTTTTCAATAAAAAAACGTCCATTAAAATGAAGTTCATTAAAATTTTAATGAAATTTTTGTGCCGTCAGGACCGCTAGGTCACAGCTGTTTTGCACGAAACATTTTAATGAACGTCCCGGTACTTTCGTCAAAAAAATGCTTTAATGAAAGTCACCCAACCCACATAACCATGTCCGTGTAAACAGAAACATCGAATACAATCGAAAGCGTAGATATACATTTATTTTTCTCACATAAAATGATTCTGTTTCTCGGAAGAATATATTCGGGGCATATATCATCTTTAGCACAAGAAGAAATGCTCTCTTGTTTCCTCCGTATGAGGAGTGTGCAATGATGAAATTTTATCCTCAGCGCAGCCAAAGCTCATCAATTCTATGATTTGGGAGTGAATATTCTTTTCCCGTTGAAGCATTGTGCCAACGTTTCCCGACTTCCCATTACAAAAATTTCACTCCCGAAACTAAAGGTGTTTAAAAGTTTAATATTTGCGACTTTCTCAGCAGCTTATAGCGCAAAAAAGTGTGAACAACGCAAATAAACAAACACAAAAAACAACAACAGTTTGTTTATCCACTTGTATTAGTGTCCAAATGAAATATTGGGATTTCAACTGGACTGTCGTTTAATGAATTCTTATCGATTAGGAAGAAAAAACTTCCACTTAGTTAATCTTTTAAATAATCCTAAAAATATTTTATTCGCACGTACCATCTTCGCCATTAGCACTACCATGGCTATCATGGCTGCTTGGTGAATCATCTAGGAAAAAGGAACAAAAGATAAGAGCTTGTAAAAGTTCACAAACAGAATAACACATGCCTGCTTTCTAATAAAAGCACAATAGGCGTGTAACACTAAATTATAACTCCGTCAGTTTACAAGCTACGAACTTTTCTTTTGAAACTTAAGGGTTTGAAACGATGCTCTTTCTTTTTGTCTCTTGGACGTTTTTTCTAGGACCTTCAGAAATAAGGTTTCCAGAAAACCGTGGTTTTTGACCTACCGGCTTTTGAGAAAAACGACTTTCTGGAAAAACGCAGCGACCAAAATTCACTTTACAATACAGATTCGGAATCAGCGTGAAATGGCGCTCGTTTTAAAAAAAGGTTCGAGGTTCTAACTCAAAATTTAAAATTTTGAAATAAAATTTAAAGTTTAAATTTTCCACTTTTTTAAATTTCAACTTAATTCGCGCCGATCATCGTGTTTTCATAGTACAGAGTCTAAATACTCTTTGCCACACTTTTATGATCCAGATATAAACAGTATGTGTTATTCGCAAGAGCCGAGAGCAGGTTCATTTATGCGGA